TTCTATAGTTTCCACAATCAGTTGGGTCACCCTTCTTTGGGATGGGAACAAATATAGATCTCTTCCAGTCAGTTGGCCAAGTGGTTGTTCTCCAGCTTTCTTGGCACAACTTGGTGAGCACGTCCAGGGCAGCATCTGTTAGCTGAAATATGTCAATTGGTATATCGTCTGTTCCTGGGGCCTTATTTTTTGCTATTTCCTTCAAAGCAGCCTGAACTTCTTCCTTCATCACCATAGGCTCTTACTCTTATGTTATTTCATTAAATTCTTCTGAGTCTGCCACTTCCTTTCGATACAGTGACTCAGTATATTCTTTCCATTCCTGGATCATTTAATATTCTGTCTAAAGCATCCTTGATTATAGCAACTCGAGGTTTGAATTTGTTTTTCAGTTCCTTGAGCTTAAGAAATTTGGAGCGAGTTTGGCCCTTTTGATTTTCTGACTCCAGCTCCTAGGGACCCCAAAAGACAGGAAGATCCCCAATGAGATGGATTGATACAGGGACTGCAACAATAGGCTCAAGAGCGTCAGAAAATTGTGAGGATAGCACAAGCTAGGATGGGGTCAGATCTGTTGTTCACAGGGCCACTATGCGTCGTACTCAACAGCACTTAAAAAGAGCAACAAGAAATAATTTCTAACAAATAATTCTAAGTTGTGCTGCTTAAATATAGGCAGAATTGCTTTGGAATACAAGTAAATAAACAAAATAACACTTATCAATTGACTTCTGTACAGATAAAGGTCACCTTCATTAGATCAACATAGTGGTTCGAGATAATAATCATCTTCCCTATGAGGTAGGGAAGGGTAATGATTCTAACAACAACATCATCATCATCTAGGAACTTTATTCATTACACAGGCTGACAATCACTGAAGCATCACAATCTAGGCAAGCCCTGAGGTTATAAAGTAACACAGGGTCTATGTTGAATCAGGAATCAGTGGAGCTTTCCTCAGATTTATAAATCAAAAACAGTTTTGAAAGGAAAAACAGAAATAATAAAAATAGATTTTGTTGTCTATTGTTCAGTTGGAACAGACTCATAGCTGACCCTCAGTGGTCTTTCAGAGGTGGTTAATGGCACAGGTGGACACTGTCCATCTTCTCAATGTTTTCTTGTATACAAAACATTCCTATAAGTCTGTTTGTTTTAGGTGTACTGGATCTTGTTTGTCTACTGATGATTACTAGAACTCTATTCATCATAAGATAAAAAGTAAAAAAGAGATTATGTGCAAATCACAGAATAAACAACATTAAATGATGTGATGTAATTTTCAAATTACACAAAAATACATCAAAACCAGGCAGAAAGGCCTCCATAGCAGAGTACACATGAGCTCTTGCAGATTATTATTCATCTGGGCTCTCCAGTCAGAACCGACTCATAGCTGATTGATCCTTACAGTAAGTTTTCAGAGGCAGCAAATCTTATGGAAGACCGTCTTTCTTAGACAGAGAAGCTGGTGGATTAGAAGAGGCACTGACATGGCAGTACAGCTCCTTACCTCAGGCCATCACAGGCATACTGCATCACCGCTATTGTAACAAACCATTTCCAATGGAAAGACAGAAGGAATCAAATATGGGATCAAAGGTCAAGGGATTTCTGGTTAGCAATAACTCTTCAAATTATTCTGTCACAGCCAGCAGGCAAAGACATTTTCAGTTTAACAGAAAGACTGTTGCTTTTCAGGATACTGAAAAGATTTCATTCAAGAGAAGAGCATGACATATAACAAATATTCTAAATGAAGTGTACAACAAATAAATATAAAAGCTTTGAGAACAATACATTGGTAACTTGGCTTTTTAACAACATAATCATTCAAAAGTTACTTCATTAAAAAAAGGCACAGCGCTCTCTGACATTCTACCCTTGATACTAGAGATCTTGAAGGAAGTGACAGATGCTGTCCACATCTCCATCACCTCCAGGATTTCCTCCAGCTTGCTTACCCGGCATCTTTGCTGGTTACTACAGACCCTGGGCATGTCACTGGCTGGGCTGTCAAAAGAGCAGGACAAGTGTCCACGTGGCAGATAGCTGAGGCCTCCAGTGCAGTGGTGACAGCACATTCTAGAAGTAGCCCCGCTTCAGGTGACTCTCTGGGTTTCTCTCCTGCATTGCCTGGGGTCTGATGCTCAGTGGCTGGAAGAGATGAGCCTCTCAGCTCCTCATGGGGGCCCACTGGTGCATCATTAACCTTTAAGATTAGTAAAAAAAACAATACAAAATTATCAAGTTTAGAATTTTAAGATTCAGCAATTCTGCAGAGTACTGTACTTGTTTTCAGTACATTTCTTTGTATTTTAGCCCTACAAGTATTTAAAAATAAACAGTCATCAAAACCCACTCCACTCTATGTGAGGGATATTTTTACAACTTCTCAATCACAGATATAACTAGCAGCACATACGTTTAACTACTGAGATAACCAGTTGGTCTAGTGGTTAAGTGGTAAGTTTCCAAAGTTAAAGTTGACCGTTTGAATCTAACAACTATTTCAGTAGAGAAATAAATGTGTGGAAGCTTGCTTCAGTAAAGATTACAGCCTGGAAACCCTAGGGGATAATTTGCCTTGAATTATATAGGATTACCGAGGGAAAATCAACTTGGTCATATGCCTGGCTTGTATTTATATATGAATCAGCAGTAAAGAATTATTTTGTTTCTTTCACTTAATTTTGTAAAAGATCTACAAAATCAGTTTTATCAAAAGTACACAATATCAAAATCTGTTGGTAGCCATTTTCTGTTCAATGAATGTTGTTGTTATGTGCTGTGGAGTCAAAACTGACCTTCCAGCCGGTTTCTAGAGGCAGTAAAACAACAGAAGAGTAATCATTTTTCTCTCAGGGAGCAGCTGGTGGATTTGAACTACTGGCCTTTGGGCTGTTGGCTTAATTTCTTATCACTCAGCCATCATATCTTCCTTTTTAATGAGTAGGAAATATAACTTCAACTAGTAATCCAAAGGATAGCTCACACTAGCAAAACGTTTGGCGAAGAGATTGAGATTGTTCACAGCTTCAGTTTGCTCGGCTCCACTGTCAACACTCTTGGCACCAGCAGACAGGAAATCAAAAAACGTATTGCGATGGGAAAATCTACTGTTAGGGACCTCTCTAAAGCACTCAGGAGCAACGGTGTCTCTCTGGAGACTAAGGTGTGCCTGATACAGGCCATGGTCTTTGCAATCACTTGTTATGCATCAGAGAGTTGGACAATGACTAGGGAGGATAGAAGGAGAATTGATGCCTTTGAGCTGTGGTGCTGGAGAAGAGTATTGAATGTACCATGGACTGCTAATAAAACAAACAGATTCATTCTGGAGAGGGTTAAACCAGGCTACTCCTTGGAGGCAAGGATTCTGGGGCTTCATCTGACATACTTTAGACATGTTATAAGGAGAGACAGGTCCTTGGAGAGGGATATCATTCTTGGTAGGATGGAGGGACAGCACAGGAGGGGAAGACCCTCTATGAAGTTGATTGATTCAGTGACTGGTGTGCTCGGGATGGGTGTGTTGGAGGCAGTGCGATTGGCACAGGATAGAGTAGGGTTTAGGGCTGTTGTACATAGGGTCACTATGATAAAAAGAAGGGTTAATTGTCTCATCACATAAAAGGAATCTTACAAATTGTTAAGAAAAACAACAAATTTCTAGGGCAATAGCTGTTATTTCACAAATGGACAAAATAGAAAAAGTTAATTGAAACTATTGCTATCAGAAAGGAAAAAATAAAAATCAACAAATAAAAATAATTTACACCATCTTCTCATCTATTAGGATAAAAGTATAGTAAGACTAAAGAAATCAAGAAACATTCATTAGATTGTTAAACAGTTAAAATGTTAATTTTAATTCCTATGATAACCACTGTAAAAAAATAGAAAAGAAGCAAATTTTTAAAAAATACACTTGAAAAAAAGAAAATTTCGGGAAGGCAATACTGGAGGAGTTAAGGAACAAAAGAAAGAAAATCAATATAAAAGAAACAAAAATAGTAAAATGGCAGAACCTTCCTCATTAGTTATCACTTTAAATGCAAATGAATTATATGCTTCAATTAAAAGGCAAACACTGGCAGAATGAATGAAAAAACATGATCCACACATAGGGAGCTCTGGCTATAGGATAGGAGCTCCGCCTGTAGTAGAATCTTTAGACACAAACATGCAAACATGTTAACAGTAAAAGGTATACAATGTATATAAACTTTAGTATAAAATGAAAACTTTGTTGAAAAAATAAAAAGGTATACAAATTATTTCACGCAAATAGTAAGCAAAAGAAAGCTGGAGTAAGTAACAAATTATCAGATTAAATGGATTTCAAGTCCAAAAGGGTTACAAGATGTCATAATATATTGGTAAAAGGTTTAATTTATCAAGAAGATCTAACAATTATAAACATACACATCTAACAATAGAATCCCAAAATACAGAAATAAACATTAACTGAAGGGAAAAAGAATTCAATGATAAAGGAAACTTTAAAACTCCATTTTTAAAACAACTAATAAGTAAATACAGATATACACTTTAAACCAATTAAAAGTAGAAAACACCCCACTTAATGATAGCAGAATATATATTCTTCGCAATTCATAGATTAGTCCCATAAATAGATCATACATTGTTGTTGTTGGTTGTCGTTGAGTCGAGGTCGACTCACAGCGACTCTATGAACAAAAGACCTAATGTCTTCCCATAGCTATCGTAGATCATACATTAGATCACAACATAGGTTTTAAAAATTTAAAAAGATTGGAATCAGACAAAATAGCTTTTAGATCAACCAAAGGAAATGAGAAAGCAGTAACAGAAGTAAATTGAGACATTCACAAATATGTGGAAATTAAAACACTTTCATAGATCAAAGAAAGAAATAACAAGGGAAATTAGAAAATACACTGATGCCAGAGAGAAACACACGTAACCACATGGGCTGCAGTGAAAGCAGAAGTAAAATGGAAATTTTTAGCTACAACACTTATATTTAGAAAGAAGGCTCATGCCACTTACAGCTTAAGGAACCAGGAAAAGAAGAGCAAATTAACCAAACACAAGAGACTAAAATAAGTAACAAGGAATAGAGCAAAAATAAGTGAAATATAGTAGAAAAATATTTTTAAAAAGTTAATAAAAACAAAAGTTATGTTCATGAGGAGATCAACACAGTTGTTATACCTTTAGATAGATGATTAAGAAAAAGACTCAGATGACTAAAACCAGAAAATAAAAGACAGGACACATCACTGTCAATTTTAGAGAAATAAAAAAGGAACAGAATTGTATGAACAACTGTCTACAAGCAAACTGCATATAACCTAGAAGAAGTGGATAAATTCTAGAAACAACTACTCAAGCCAACTCAAGAACATGGAGAGAATTGGGATAGATTCATAAGAGTGAACCTGTAATCAAAAGTCTCTCAGCACCAGATGGCTTCACTTGTGAATTCTACCAAACATTAAAAGAATTAGTAGTAATTCTTTACATCTTACTAAAGGCACAAGAGGAAACAGTGTAACAAAGCCAGCCTGAAACCAGAAAACATAATTTTTTATATATATATATACATTTTATATATATATTTTTTTAATATTACATGCCAGTATGTCAAGGAATAGTGATGCAAAATCTTGACGAATATAGCCCTAATCCTTATTATGTTCTCTAATAGCCATGACGGGCTTTAATGATATATGTCTGGTAGTTAAGAGGCCCATCATACTCAGTGGCTGCTGGTAGTTGTATAATGATACAGTTACCCTCTGTTTTGTGATTGGATGTCATCACTCACCACTTTTGAATTCGTAGTTTTAACTAAAGTGCTTCAGCAGCACATTTAAATGACCACACACCATGATGAAGCAGGATTTATCCTGTAAAACTCAAGGGTGATATAACACACAGAAGTCAACGAATCTAATACATCTTGTTAGAATCTAAGTGATAGACTACAGGTTATATAGACTGGACTCATAAAAGAGGAAATTCTGTTCCTGGGCACATGCAATGACAGCAGCAGCACACACATACCTCGTACTTTTCCTGGAAAATAGGCAAGTTCTCATGTGACGTCTCCACTGCCTGATACAACTTCCTACGAAGTTCGTCTATTTTCTCTTTTAACAGCTGTTCTTCAAAAGCATTTTCTTCTTTTCTTTTCATATATTGTCTGTCTTCATTTACTTTAAGGTAGATAAAAAGTAGTGTTTGAAGTTTACAAATAGGTCATCAGAGGCACACATGCAAAATGAATTTTTAATTTTTTTTTTAAGTCTTATTCAATGTTTAGTGGTGGTGAATGCAAAATCTTATTTCAGGAAGTCAGGATGGTCCACAGACTAGTATGGACTGAATTGTGTCCTAACCCTAACCCTAACCTGAACCCTAACCCTAACCCTAACCCTCCAAAATATGTGTTTGTGGTTATAATGCCATTTGGGAATGAGTTCTTTTGTTACACTGATACTAAGGATTAGGGCATAAATTGAGTCAACTTCTTAAGATATAAAGGAGATTAAATACAAGCAGAAAAGAGAGCTGAGGGATGACCAGGAATCTCAATTGTGAGACCGTCCTCCAGAGCGGGTGCAGACAGAAAGCTTTCCTGTTTGTTAAAGACATCACTTGTGACATTTCTGTTATAACAATCATTAACATATAACAAAGACAAAATCTAGGACCAAGAATTGGGAGTGCTCCTCAAATACACACACACACACACACACACACACACACACACACGGTTTTGAAATAAGAAAATGAATGAGCTATAAGGTGCATAAAGTAAAAGGCTAATTTTCCATTAAGGTCAATTTTGGACAGCTAAAGTTGACAGAATTCCTCCATTTTTTCAATCTTTGGCTTTAGTTGTTGGTGCGTATATCTGAATAACAGTCATTATTAACAGATCTTCCTTGGACACATGTAGATAGCATCCTATTACTCACAGCATTGTACTTCAGGATAAAACTTGAAACAGCCATTTTAACTGAATGCAACATCATTCTTTCTCAATGTTTCATTCTCTGCAGAGAAGATCCTATGATGGTCTGACATAAAATGGCCAATGCCAGTTCATCTCAGCTCACTAATGCCTTGACTGTCAATCTTTGTATGCTCATTTCATTTTTGACAACTTCCAGTTTTTCTAGATTAATAGAAAATTAATTCAATTCTTAAAAGATGTTTGCAACTATTTCTGACCTTTAAGTGACTTCTGATTTGGCTCTACCTCTATGATTATTATTATTGTTGTGTGTAACAAGTCCGGACCAAGGCACAGCTGACCTTTTTGTAGGATTTCAGAAGCATTAGATCACACAGGAAACTAATGATCCTTCTCCCCCAGAAAAGCTGGTGGATTCCTCAAGTACCATTGTAAAAGCCTAACATGCCTTGAAGAGACTGGTGTAGAATTATCAAAGGTAAATCTGATGTGGGCTCAAAAGGAAGCAGGGAGCCCTACAGAGAAGGTCTCTACAGTCAGAGCTGCTAGAAATGCTAACATTAAATGTGCTTCTAAGTGAGGCTTTACAAATATCTGATTGCAGAATAGAGGGAAAGAGGGAAAGTAGTCCTTTAGGGTTTTACTAAAGTGGCAAAGAAGTGGTCTGAATTAGGTTCAATGTTTGATGGACATGATAAACTTGGATTTCTGGTTGGATATATTAAAAAATGAGATCTAGACAGGCTTCATGGTTTCTGCTTGTCACTTACAGTAAAATGCAAAAGGAAAGAGTCCAGCATATAAAAATTGAAATTGAAAAACAAGGAACTCATGCAATATTATTCAAAATGGTTGACTCTGGAGACCATTATGCTGAGTGAAATATCCCAGTCACAAAAGGACAAATATTACATGATGCCACTGTTGTAGAATGGGACT